GCAAGCACTTTCCATTCTAAATTCTCCCACTTCCATGGAGTGATAATGAGGAAAATGTTGGAGAGTTCAGAAACCTTTTGGAAATGAATGTGACCTCTCTGACAACCACCCCCTTAGGACTTAAAAGTCTCTGTTTCACCATTCATGCTAAAACATTATGTAGCTTTCAAGGGAAAAGCCAGATGATATGGGAGGGATAAATGTAGACATTTAAGGAATTCATCCCTCTACTTGGGAACAAACATAGGGAATAAAGTATAGAAAGCTAGTGATAAAATAGTGTTTCTTTAGTAATTTAAAACCTGAATTTGGATTGCTGCTTACAACCCACTGGACTTCAGCGTGACTTAAAAGTATCTAGTTATAAATATATCTAAACGTGAAATACAGATTTTTGTTTTGTAAGTAGATGGATAGTTGAAGATGACTTGTATCACCTCACATACTTCCGTCAGTTTGGGTTTAAAACACTTTAACACAATAAAATCTAGAATTATTTGCTATAGGAATACAAATGTTCAAAATTATGAGTATATTGAGAGACAATATGTGATGGAAAACAAGAATATTTGAGGACAGCTATGGGTTTGGAATAGGTGACTCCTAAATTTAACTCCTTGGATTTTCCAGTATGCTTTTCACTGTTCCCAAGTTCATTCCCAAGCCTAAATGCCTTGTGCATTGAAGAAAGCAAGCGTGGTCGTAGGAAAGGCTGCAGTCTTCCGACCTCTGTGGACTGACCCCTCAAATTAAATGAGTGGTATAGACATAACAGTGCTGTTCAATGAAATGCTTCTATTTCTTTAAACAATTACTGAATAGCTTCATGAGAAGTACAATTAATGAGATTTGCTTGGCTGTGGATTTTTGTTCTGTGTCCCTACGCTAAAAGTCCCATTCTCATTACTCATAATCTCCCTAAATCCCTATTATTTTCCAAGATTCTCCACAGCAACAGTTTCGCTTCCCTTTTTGCATGCAAGGGCCATCAGAGGCAACGTGCTGAGCTTGACTGCCTGGTTGGTGCATGTTGACCGGCCACTGCTGGGCTTCTGCTTCAGCCTCTCTCTCAGGGGCAGCTCCTTCCTGGCACCATCCTCCCAAAACTTTAGTGACCTCAGTGTTTTGGAGACATCTATCCCATTGCCAAAAGTGTTTAAAAGGTATTGCAGGAAAATAGCAGATAAGTGGGCCTAAAATTGAGCAAGCTTGTTTCCTTAACTCTTCTAGCTGAAAAAAAAAATTAATGATTTTGTGTTTGAAGATAAAATTCTGAAATGTACTTTGAAGGCTCGAGATCTGGAAGGCCAATTAAAAGAGCCTGGCACAAAGTTAATTCACATTTTTCAGGCTTTTCTGATAAAAATATGTCATTCTCCCCTGCACATGAAAACTTACATATGTTGTCAAAGTAGTAGTGTTCTTGTAGTGGGGAGGTTCTATCTAAAATATGCTCCAAGGAAAGCTGTGTAATTCAGCTAAGCAAAGTAGCTAGAAAAACAACAACAGCAACAACAACAAACCAGACATATAAGTATTTCTTCAGGTCTGAAATAGAGGCAGTAAACTGAATAAGTAAGTTTGGAAACAATTGAGTTCGGCCTGATGAAATTATACTTTGAGTGATGGTTCCCAACCGTGTACTTAACAGAAATGTACTGCTCCTGTCTGGGTTAGATCTAAGAAAGCACAGTGTGTCTGAAACCTTGTTTGTTTTTCCAGCAATATCAGCTGTTTAAGAAACCACACCAGCTCCCCTTATGAACATTCCTTGCTTTGGAAGTTACTTTTTATATTCTGTTTACTGCTTTGGTTTTGTCTCATAACATCAAGGACTTTGATTAAAAATAAGCTGCCACTGAAAAACATACAAATACAAAAACAATTTGGTTTTCAACTAGGCCAAGTCATACAACCTCAAAAGATCATATAATATATAATAATGAAAAAGGTGTTGCACTGAAAATGAAAATGGGTTTCAATTTTGTTCCTCAATAGAACAAAAATATGGCTCAGGGGAGATTCAGCAGTACAAACTAAATGTACTTATCTTTTATCTCATCATTTCTAAATTGCATTTCGGTACTGTTGTAGCTCTTTCTAAAATGATTCAGTTTTTCAAAATTAATGTGATAGTTGTCCTCATAAGATTTTTTATATTCCTTTCTATATTCCTTCTGTTCTTCTGTTCTGGTTTCATTTTCTCTGGTCAGGAGAGCAAAGCAGTTAGTTAGTGATAGATTTTCATCCTGCCATGATAGCATGTGTGAAAAGGGAGAAGGAAGTGTGAATGTGAAGAAGGAAAATGATTATCCTTTCAGAATAATTATATACGGTTTCTGGAGTTCATGGAGAACACATATGGGAACACATAATGTTAAAAAAGCCACATGTACTCAATCCTAAAGAGGCTGTAATCTAAATAAGATAAGACAAATATAATTCAATAGAGCCACAGTGCAAAGGGGGTCAGTGTGGGAGAAGGAATTGCCTGAAAGTCTTTTAAAGAAAGAGACCTGGTGAGAACGGTAGTAGATCTTCTGTGAGCAAGAAACTGTACAGATAGCGGAGAAGCATGTTTTGGTTGGCACATAAACAACAATAAATCAACCTCCAGCTTCTGGTTATAGGGATGAACGCTGTGTTGGGTGGTCACACTGCCTTACTCATGGCCACACATGGCCATGGCCACTGATGACAGAGAATGTCAAAGGCAACTGTTGCCTTTTGCAGTGTGGGGCTTCCCAAACGCCTACAGCAGGAGTGGCTGCTCTGCCCACCTGCACGTGAGAGCCAGAAGGAGAGCGTCCCTGTCCCCGCCACCCCTTTTTTAAAAAAGAAATGAGGAAAAAAAGCAAGAAAGGAACAGAGAGGAAGCTGTTATAACCTCCCACATAGGCAGGAACCACTGCTGGAAGGCTTGGGGAGGAGGAGAGACACTGGCAGGTCGACATAGGCAAGATCTATCACCAATATTAAGTAGAGCTAGTATAAGCTGTAATGGAATAACATGCAAGAAGAGCAAAGTCAAATAGTATACTTCTATATTTCTGTTTCAGTCTTCTGTGAGATGCTTACACAGACCACTGAACTGCACCCCAGGCAGTCTAGACACTTTATCCTTGGGTATCACTTGATACTTTCTGAGCCAAAAGGTAGATGCACCAGCTTGAAAGACAAACCTGTGCACTGAGCAGAGCTGAGCATGTTGCCTCCAGCATCAGTGAGCACCTAATATCTAATATAGCACTAATGCTATAAGCATGATTAGAGTACTTTCAACAGGAAAGGTAGGCAATGCCTCCTTGAAATATATTTTTAAGAAGCACCAGCAGACTTTTAAGTTTCTAAAACCTCCAAATTAAGTTTTCTTTAGCAATTGTAGGTGGAATAGCCAGGCATTGCCACACTGCAGCTGAGTGGCAGCGCGTGGCATCTCCAGGGATTTCATCCCTGCTTGCCCAGTCTGCTCAGGACCACGCAGGGAAGCACAACAGAGAACCAAAGAGAGGAAGGACTGGAAGGGCCAAGGTTTCACGCTTCCTCCTTACACTAGAGAAGACACTGAAATATATAGAGGACACTAATCTCTTGCTAAAGTATTTAACAGATTCCAGTAGCAAGAAAGTCTTTGTACTCCGTACTCCCTGCTTTAACAAATATATGCTTTCTGGAAATTACAGGTTCGAAAAAGTTTTATTGCTTAATTGGAAAATAATGAAACTAGGCGTTTGCAGATATGAACTAATAGTTTGCAATGAACAGAAATTTAAATATACATGTAATTAAATCAATTGCATTTTTTAAAGTTTTAAATTTAATATAGTAAAATATTTGCTAAAAATTAAGCAATATTAAAATGGGAAGTTGAAAAATATAGGCCTAAGAATGCATTTGGAAAACTAATTCCTTTTAATATTATTTTTAATATTATTTTAATATTATTTTTCCATATTTGAAAATTGTGCAGTTAGCTGGAAATAACATCATCAGAATATATTAAATGTGAGAGAGTTAGTTGCCTTAAAATTTAATTCGTTTATTATTTATTTATTTATTTAGTATTTAGTATTTATTAATTTTATTTATTTATTATTTGTTTATTTTGTTTATTGTTTATTATTTATTGTTTATTGTTTATTTATTTACACTCTAGGTGTAACACAGCAGTATTCCTTACTCCTTAGGTTAAAGATTTCAAAGCAATATGACACATATAGGTACCATATCCCTACCTCATGGGGATGAGAAAAACATGAGCTTTTTAGCAGCCAAACTCTGAGCCTTAGAGCATCACAAATTGGGAAAATTAGTTTTATAAATGAGGATCACTCACAGTGAGTATCCTGTCCAGGAGGTCTTATTAGAAGAGGATTTTAAATCAAAAAAACTCTCTCAGTTGTGCCAGATACAAAACAGGAGAGGAAATGATCTCTTCCTTGTTAGGTAGTAAATCATGATCTATAGTCTGCAATTAACTGGAATTCAGTATATATCTAATTTAATGCTTTTATAACCTTTTATAGTTTAGGTCAGTCTCAATGCTAAATATGGTTAGCATCATAGGAAATGAGTTTGTACTATAGGTGACCCTGCTTGAGCTTGATCTAGATGATCTCTAGAGGTCCCTTCTAACCTCAACCATTCTGTGAATCTGTGATTCTGTGATTCTGTGTGTATTATGGTAGATGGCTATGACCAGTATTGGCATTTAAGAATGTACAAATACAGCATCATACTATTAATATCTTCTAACTGGAAAATGATTTTCAACTCATAACCTCAACTATCCTTGCAAATATGAGTTGAACTGCACAACAGTCCAACATGGTAAGTATTTTTGGACTTATTTTAGAGATACCCAAACTGAGTGAGGAACAAAAAGCTATGTGACTAGCAATAAGAATATATAGGTAAAATGTAATGATGGTTTTATTATTGTATAAATATTCTATCAATTACAATAATTACATCTAGTCATTTTACCAACTTTTTTCTAGGGTTTTGGTAGCCCATCAGGTGAACATTGGCTGGGAAATGAATTTATCTTTGCAATAACAAGTCAGAGACAATATTCTCTAAGAATTGAATTAATGGACTGGGAAGGAAACCGGGCATATTCACAGTATGACAGATTTCATATAGGAAATGAAAAGCAGAATTACAGGTAAGAATCTACTCAAACTCTTTTGACAGTACTGAATGGTAAATACTGTTTATAGTTTGCTTGTTAAATGCCAGAAAAGATAATGATACTGATTTTTCACATAAAGTGAATCACCAGGGTTAAACTAAAATAGAAAAGTAATTTCTCCATGTCGGAAGGTTAGATGGAAACTAATATATCTAAGAATAAGGAATGATCTATTGATTTCACTTCCTGATAGAACTGTGTAAAATTTGTAACATGTTAGCTCATGAAAGAGCATTTGAACTCAAAACTGCTTGAGTAAGGAAAAAAAAAAAAGAATTTCTCATGATGGACAGAAGACTTCATCTTATTGTGAAGAAACAAAAAGCATAATGAAAGGACCAGTATGGGATACGCTTGATCTTGATTCACCATCATCAACATGCTGCTAATTTGAAAAAGGTATATGAAGTTAAAACTTTTTTTCTTGTTATCCTTTCCTCATAGATATTTTTAAAGTTAAGAAAGAAAGAAAAAAATGGTAATACCATAGACTTTTTTTTTCTTCTTCTTCTTTTTTAAATCATTATTTCCTCTGAACAGACAGTACAAACTTGGGGAAAGAAAATGGCACAGAAAAATATTCAAAATAATTTATTACATCACTACTAGCTGGTAAAGGTTTTAGGATAGAAAAAAATATGCTATAAAACAAAACATTCAGGTTGTAGAATGTGAAACATTGGACTGATATTCAGATTTTTAAAGTCTAGTAATTTGACTCCCAAAAATGCTGACCTCCCAGCCCCCCTAGGGAAATAGAAATGAATGCAATTTGCTCTTTCTGTTGACAGGACTCTATCCAGGTGGGACATATAACATTGTTCTTGTCCCCTTGGATTTCTCAGAGGATGTTACTGTCTGGTATAGAAGAGAAGTTATTGAGAAGCTATTGCTACATTGAGAAGTTATTGAGCTCCTGCATAGTGTTAAAGACATCACACAGCACAGAAAGGTCAGCTCTGTAATTAGAGTTGTGTAATGCAAGACTCAGGGTTGTCAAAAGGCCATATAATGGAATCTCTGATGTTCTGAAAAGAGGCAGTATTGGGGCATGTTAGATTTGTTTCTGAGGGAGTGGAGGTGAAAATACTCACACCCGTGTGTGTAATATGTCAAGTGGAAGTCCTGGGTGTGAACTACATATCTGAGCCCCAAAACAGTTCAAGAGAAGTATCTAGGTAAAGTAGTTCAGTTAGAGGTACATGCTTAAAAAAACCTTAAGTAAAATTGCAACCGATCTAATCACCTTCAGTTTTATAATCAGTGGTGAGAAACAGGAACTTCAGGGATATGATTCATCTGGCTTATTTTAGATGGGTTTTTTTGGTCCTTCAGAATGAAACATATTCCATCAGCTCCTGTTTTCTGCATGGACAGCCAAGGAAGTCTAGGTGTAGATTTTCACACGTGAATGTGTGCTGCATGGCTCACGCTATGAACCCCGAAGGTGCTCTGCTCAAATGCTGAGATCCCTGCAGAGCCTTGACAGTAATGAGGATGCCCAGCCTGCTGTAGTCAGTTGACACGCAGTTTAGCATGATTCAGAGGAGCTCCTCCTTTCTGAGGAGTCCTTAGACTAAGTGAAAAATTGACAGAGAAAAGTTCTCCAAAGAGAGAGGCTTGAATTTTTTTTTAATACTTTTAAGGTGAGGAAAAAAGGCAAAGCAAAGTTGATTTTCATCTCTGCCTTGGCTGATGAAACAGATACTTGGAGATGTCTTAAACAGGATAAGTTTAATATGTTGATAGAAGGGGCAAAGAAGCCCTCGAAAATTATCCCAAATGAGTCTCTAGAAAATATATAGGAACAAGAGAATATTTAGAAAAGGAAAGTAAATCTGCTTTCATTAGAAGAAAGGGAGATCTTCTGGCAGGATGAATTGTATTTTCTGAGCATGGAAACAATTGTGAAAACTGATCCATGAAAATTCTTCCTGCTAAACAAGAAAAATGGAAGGGTCATACTTCAAAAGTATAGAAATCTCAATAGAAATGGTGTAATGGTGTTCAGGCCTCAAAAAGTTAAAAAAAAAGAAGTGTCAGATGAATTCTGCTGTCTGCATTAAAGCCACATTTCCTCGGATATTAGTAGGGATTTGCCTAGGGAATAAGGAAAGACTGAAATTTTGCTTCCTATCTTACTCCATAGTCCAGTGAAAGATCAGAACTTACCTGGTTCGAGCTGCCTGTGTGACCTCAAGGTACAATTGAATTTCCTCTGTTCAGAGAATGGTGAATTAGCTTAATTCCTATTATTCTGAGATAAAGAGAGGGAAGCATGAAAATGTGCAAAGACTCCCTTTCACCCTGTTGATCTGAGGCTTTTCAAATGAATTCCTTGTTCATTTTTTCCTGAAACATACCTGAGTATTTAATGAAGGCGAAATAGTCTGACAGCTCTGGCAATAATGAAGCGTAAGCCACATGTAAGTCTAGATTATTGTTCCTGCTTGACAAAAGCACTAATGCCTAGTCAGATACATGTCCACAGACATTTTACAAACAAAAATTCCACTGGACTCTGAGAAGATACTATAGGAATGCATCGTATGATGTAAAAGCTCTTTATTTTGCTTGCCAGCATCACTATCTGTGACAGAAACAACTCCAGAAGGCAGGCCAAATAAAAGCCTGATTACTGGGCCCTAAACTGCTGGCCACTCTTCACAGAATGCTGTTTTCTCTTTATCTGAGGACCCTGTCATTCTGAATTTAACTGATGCCTCCAAAGTTGAAAAGCAGCGTCCTCAACATCATGCTCACAGTTCTTTTCCTTTGCAGTTGTCCAGCATTTGCCATGTTTGCTCTCAATACATCAAGCAGAGAGCAGCATACCTTTTGAAAACCTCAGTTACTATTTATTTGAAATCATTCTGCCAAACAAATTAGATACTGTCTTATTTTGGAAGCTGTTAGGAATTTCTGCTAGTGACCCCCATTAAAAGCTGCTTCTTCAATGCTGTTTGTAAAAGCAAGTGACCGTAGGCTGGCCTTACTCTACATTAGTTTCAAATAATATAAGTTCACTAAGAGCTTGTAGAAATAATAACCAGTAAAGAGAAAAGCTTCCAAGCAGGTCTGGGCCGTAGATCAAGGATAAAGTTCTAAAGTAGAGGAAGGATAATTAAATGAAAGGAAAAGCTATAGAAGTGGAATATCTTTCATTTATGTTATGGTAGTACCTCATATGTTTGGAAGAGACCAAAAAAATACTAAGGTTCCAGGTCTAGTGTTTGAATACAGTAAGTTAAGAAAGGAATACAAATATTGCAAAGTGATAAAATGCATCTGAGAAAATATGGAAAATCATTTTCATGCTGTTTTCCCAAAATCCAGCCTCAACATTATGCAAAGTTCGATTCACTCTGGATAACTCCCAATTGGTGATTTCAGAAGGGTTCTGTTTTTTCTCTGGGTTGTTTGTATTCTCTTTACTACTTTTTATTAGCCTAAAGAACCTATGATTAAAAAGGGTAATGCTGAACACATGTACATTAAAAATATCCTTGTTTCTCTTTCAAAATGAGACAGCTCCAAAAGGGTTTCTGGGAATGCAAAATAAAATCTATTTATCCCAGATGATCCCAAAGAGGAAAATTGAGATGAGAATGTGAGTGCTGAAGCAGAAAATGCTTGATGATGAATGATAATTGACACAGAATAATCAGTGTTGCACCTTACTTGAAAGCTGCAATAACCTGTACCATCATAAGTGGTTGATTTCCTTTTGTACATCGTTCCGCTTCGTATCTACAGAAAATGATTGAACATGGAGCTATCTGAAAATAGCATGAAAATGATCTCTGCCGGTCTCCTTGCAGGTCTTGCACTGGGGCAAACAAAAGAGCAGTTAGATGT